AAAAGCTTCGGGATCCTCAAGCTTGGGTGCCATTTAATGCACTATGGCACTCACTTGATGAGTTATTTTAATTGTTTCACACTCCATTGACCTCTTTTTTGTTACCAAATCTTTCATGAACTTAGCATATCATGGCATTAGCTCAAGTGCCTCCACCAAAGGCACATTGATTGTGAGGCTCTTCATCATGTCAATGAACTTTTTGAATTGATTGTCACTCTTTTGCTTTGCTAACCGTTGAGGATAAGGTGGAGGTGGCCTAGGCATCGGTGCCTTGGCCTTTGGTACAACTGGCTCGGGCATGTCAAACACGTGTTCCCTAGATGGGTTCACGGCATCTTGAGTCTCTACCTCAGTTTCATCATTAATATCAATCAGCACATCATTGTTCATATTTTGATTAACCATATCATCAACAATCAAAGGTACATCATCATCCCGCAACTCAACATCTTCATCCACAACTTGCTTTTGCTTTAAGGCATTCACATCACCGTCTCTCCCACTTCTTGTTGTAACCGCCATCACATTATTATTATTCCCACCCTTCGGCTTCACTATCGTATCACTTGGTAGAGCACCCTTGGGACGAGTATTCAACGCTTGAGAGATTTGCCTAATTGCACCTCCAAGTTCCGGATAGATGTATTATGAGAAGCCAATTGGGCATCGGAATCTTGGTTGTTTTTCATCATTTGCTCGAACATGCTTTCAATTATTTCCATATCACCTCCTGGTTGCCTTGGTTCCCGCTAATGTTCCACCCTCCTTGATTGTTGTTGTTGCTCCAATTGTTGTTGTTCCCATTCCAATTGCCTTGATTGCTACCTTTATTACCCCAATTGTTGTTTTGATTGTTGTTATTCCAATTGCCACCACCTTGTTGTTGGTTGTTGTTATTCCAATTTCCTCCGTCTTGTTGTTGATTACCCCAATTTCTTTGAGGTCGCCATTGTTGGTTGGAAGAGTTGCTTCTATTACCTTGATAGTTGTTGACATATCGAACCTCTTCACTTTGGTCATCATAACACTCATTTGAAAACCCACTACTATCATTGTCATATTGTTCACAATTCCCTTGATATTGTTGCCCTCTTTGCCTTCTCTTATGCATAGTGATACCTTCCATTGCATTGACTTGGCGCATATTTTGGATTTGTTGTAACTGCGCCTTCGCTAGTTGATTCATAGTTGTTGTAAGCTCGGCAATATCTTGGCCATAATCGTGCAATTCCTTGTACAAATGGATGACCGTGGGGTCACCTTAGGGCACATTTGCTCGGCTTTGCCATGCCGAAGAGGTGTCGGCCATTTCATCAAGTACATCACATGCCTCTTGGTAAGAAAGTTTCATAAAGTTCCCTCCGGCCAATTGGTTCACATTGCATTGATTCATGGTGTTGATGCCCCGATAAAAGGTTTGTTGAATCATAGCCTCAGTCATGTCGTTATTAGGGCACTCTTTCACTATTATTCTATATCTTTCCCATATCTCGTGCAAAGGTTCCGTTGTCTCTTGCTTGAAGGCTAGAATTTCATCCTGAAGAGCCGCCATATGACTTTGAGAAAAGAACTTGGCAATAAATTTGTCCACCAATTCATCCCATGTTGTAATAGAATGATTGGGGAGCCTTTCTAACCAATCCAATGCTTTACCCCGAAGATAGAATGGGAAAAGCCTCAATCTCAACATATCCTCGGACACGTTTGTATGCTTGCTACCCCAGCATGTATCCACGAACCCCTTCAAGTACTTGTAGGCATTTTGATCAGAGGCACCCGTGAAATACCCTCTTTGCTTGAGCAAGGTCAACATAACATTCATGATTTGAAAGTTCCTCGCCCGGATTCGGGGAGAAATAATAGCACTGGCGTATCCTTGATTTGGTAAAACTCTGGGAGCCACTATCGGCGGTTGAGGAGGAGGGTCTGGAATATTGTTGTTCTCATTTGCATTTATATTGGCAAATGCCTCTCTGTGGAACTTGAGGTAAGACCTCATCTTGTTCTAGATCCTCTACCTTCCCCCCCCCTCCCGCTATCACATTGCCGAGAGGGTCATTTGCATTAAGAGCCATTTGTACTTGATTGATCGACACAAACAGAATTAGTAAACAAGAAGGAAAGAGAAGCAAAACACAATACTAACTAAATAGATAGTCAACACCGTAAGCTCCCCGGTAATGGCGCCAAAAAGTGATCGCTGCCAACTCGACGCTACACTAAGGTAGGAAGAGCGGGTCGCAATAGCTTTTACCCGATATGTGGGTCGAGATCGATTTCCTCAAGGAGCTAGTAGTGGAATTGGATTGTTTGTCTAGCCTAGAGATGTGTTTGTACTCCTAATGTCACTTCAAACATTTTTGGGTTTTTGAATTATAACTATTTTATTAAAACTATTGATTAACACTAAATTATGCTACGAGAATATTGCTAAGTTGTATCTAATGGGAAGAAGGGCACTAGGGTCGCGACACCACCTAGGTGGCTAATTGACGGGTAGATGTTACTAAGGTTTGATTGACATAATTGGGGCTTATGCTATAACTGTTGCACAATTTTACCCACTCTCACACCTCTCGGTAGAGAAAGTGATTTTGCCCAATTGACTCTCTCGAGACCAAATGAGTAGGCAAATTAGACCAAACAACTTGGGTTCAAGTAGGGTAATTACTCTCTCGAGGTTTAACCCGTTAATTGGGACTATCATTTCTCATGAGTCCATCTCATTCCTTGTTGAGTAATTTTGGGGTCATAGACTCTCTTTCTCAAGAAGAATTAAACCCACAAAGCTTGAATCAGTGTTTGCAACCACCAATTCTAGATTAAAACATAAAATTAACACAAATAGCAAACACACATAGTCAATCTAACATTATATGGCAACACCCATCAATTACCCATACTAGGGTTAAGCCACAACCCTAGATGATGGGTTTAACTACTCATGCTTGAAGAAAAAAATAAAGAAATAGATGAAGAACAAGGCATATTAATTAAATGCTAATGTAAATACAGAGAATCTATTGTTAATTTGAAGCTAAGATGCCAAAAATGGATACAAAATGATGTTCCCACGAGTGCAGCTCAACTCTGATATATCTCATTCCCTAAAAAATGGTAAAATATTTTATTTATACTAGGCTAAAAAAACTGGACAAAAATACCCCTACGGGGTCAGTGCGGGCCGCATAAAATGGACCGCGACCGCATTAGGCTCACTTCTGCTTCTCTGAACTTGGACTCCGCGGACCGCGTAGAATGAACCGCGGTCGTGGAGGGAGCTGGCGCAGTCCTCACAATCACGACCGCGGACCGCATGGCATTACCTTTGCAAACTTTCATATCTCTGACTCTCATGACCGCGATCGTACAAAAGAGTAGTGCGGCCGCAGAGCCTCAACCACAGACCATGAGATATGTACTGTGGTCGCGCTTCTTCTAGACTTGTTTACCAACTCTCTGAACCACCCAGTGCGGCCGCACTCCTGTTTGCGCGGTCCGTGTTGGGCCCTTTTTTTTTCCTTAGATTTCGTGGTCTTTGATACTTGAGCAGGTTTCACTCCTTCTTGAGCCAATCCTTGACATTTCGTCACTTTGTTGATCAAACCTGCAATCAAGCACAACTTGTGAGCCTTTTAGGACTATTTTGTAACAATATATGATCAAAGCATAGGTAAGTAGGGGCATAAAACATGTTAAAATCCTAACTTATCACACTACTCCACCACCTTCTGCCGTAAATCTATCACCTCTCTTTCAATCTTGACAAAATAAATCAATAGCGATTACAATGCCATAACAATTTGTTGAGAACCATAGCATCATAACCCAAAAGCATAGGACAAAATAATAGAGGAAGCACAACGGAATGGTGGCGACGAGGCAAAGCAAAAAACGGAGCATCGACAGCTATACACCATTTACTTACGACATTGCTTCCATCTCCGGTTGACACATATTGGAGAAATGGAAGCAGATTGACTCATATTGGGGTTTTGTTTTGGCAAGAAGAAGAACTTGGGGGTAGGGGAGTGGAGTTTGTTTCTGAAAGATTTTTTTTGTTATATAGTTATTGCAAATTCTTTTTTATGATATGTGGCGATTTTTTAAAATGGCACGTGTCATCATGCCATTTGGTCATTTGACATGCCACCCACGACGGGCCTTCACGTGTGGGATTTGACGGATTTAGGTGTCCACGAGATACATTGAGGGCAAGTTGAGGTGTCTAGATAATTATTAGGTAAGTTGAAGTGTTCAACTAGTAGTTGGGGCTAACTTTAAGTGTCTGTTTATGTATTTAATCTTTTTATTTAGTTTGATAATGACATGAATTAAACTTAAATGGGGTACATGGTCAGTGATGACTTATATAACCCACCCCAACTTATTTGGGACTGCGTCATAGTTGTTGTTATAGTAAAATTAGTATAAAATATAGAGATCGAGGGGAAAATCAATAGGGTACACGAGAAGTTGACTGCTCATAATCACTCTCCTTGTTAAATTTATAAGATATACTCCATCCGTTTCAATTTATGTGAACCTATTTCCTTTTCAGTCTGTGCCAAAAAGAATGACCTCTTTCCTTATTTGGAAACAATTTACCTTTATGCAATGATTTATAGCCATATAAAATATATGTGCTTCATTTTACACCACAAGTTCAAAAGTCTTCTCTCTTTTCTTAAACTCCGTACCCAGTGAAATGAGTTCACATAAATTGAAACGGAGGGAGTACTTCTTTTGGGACATTGCAAAATGTTTTACATAATAAGGTGCAGTTTCTGATACGGTCAAGGATTCAAACCCTTCAAGAATATTGAACTTGGACTGATGTCCAAGGTTTTTTCTAGAACAATATTTGTCACTATCTTCCACAATTTCTCACATGATAGGTGGGTTGCTCTCTTAAGCCTAATCATATTAAACTAATATGTGTCCTAGGGACCTATTAGCAAGTTAATATTTATCATTTACTCCTTTCAATACTAGGGTAACTTGAAAGTAGAAGAAACAGCACCCGGTGTGGCGACAGGGATGATCTTGTCTCTTCGTGAGAGGTATGGTAATTTGACCCTTATTCCATATTTGTAAACTTTTTTTTGGATTTAGTTGCTTATGTTTTGCCACTTTCTCACTGTCTTTTGTGCTTTGACATTGCAGTCTTCAGGACTGTAAGGACACCCTTGCATCATGTCAGGTGTGTATCATTTTAGATTTTGTTTTTTGTTTTCCATGGTTATATTCAAAACGACCTATCATCCTTTGATTTCAACATTGCATATTGATGCCATGTGATTTTTTTTTCCTTATTTATTATCAGAGCCTAGAAATCTAGATATTTTTTCCCGCTTATAGTATGTTGGATTATCATACTTTATCTCAGTTAATATTGAAAATATATGATTTTAATTAGCTTAGAAGTAAATCTTCATTGTTCCTTGAGCCGATGATTTATCAGAAACAACTTCTCTATCTCTATAAGGTAGGGGTAAGGTCTGCGTATACTCTACCCTCCACAGACCCCATTTATGAGATTACACTGAGTTTGTTGTTGTAATTAGCTTAGAAGTAAGCGCATATAGTGCCTTTCATGGGAAGTTGTTTTGTTCTTTCTCTAATACTTTACTCAATTCGTTCTTAAATTCATTTTAGATGCTTTCATAGTACAGGATAACATCTCTTTCTTCTTTTGCCTCCTAGATAATATTATGCTTTAACAAACATGTTGCCTTGATGGTGAATATTTATGCGCGGACTCTCCAAAATGCTGCCAAATCCGTATCTGGTCCTCCAAAATACTACATTTGGAGGATCTGACATGCACCCGGCGACATTTTTGGAGAGTCCAAGCAGCATAATTGGTGATAATTTACTTACAACTTGTCTTTTCATCAACATAAATAGTTGGTGTTTCTGTGAAAAAACACAGTTTAAGGAAAACAAAGATGAAACAAGAGGTCTCCATTGAATACCTGCTAGCAGTGCACTTTATGTTATAGCTCTAAAGGATCTAAGCAGCTTTCAGAACAAGGTAGGTGATGACTATTTGTAGCAAATCCCATAAGGCCATGTGATTTCAACGCAGTTCTAAGTTCAAACAAAGAACTAAACTGTTTTTGTCAGTCAGGAAAAAAGAACTGACCTGTTTCATGTCGAACCTACTCCAATTAGGGTCAAAAGGTTTGTAGTGTAGCTAGATTGGTCAAAAGGAAGTCTGCCACTCATACATCCTTAAAATGTCCGAGGGGCTAAGATTTCTAATTTTATAGTTTTCATAGTCTTCTTTTGGTGTTTCTGTGCCTTCCTAGATTCTTATGCTAACTCTAATTTGTTCAAGCTTTGTGTGGGGACTTTTTGGAACCGCAACACACTTAATAGAGCATGAATTATGTTGTTGAATGACCAAATTTTTGATTGAAATGGCTTAAATTAATTACTGACTCGACTGTTTATGTTTGTTTCAGACAGAACTTGAAGCTGCAAAATCTGAAATACAAAAGTGGCGGTCTGCGTTTAAAAAGGAGTCTTTCATACCACCTGGCATGACATCTGGTATGTCCTTTCCAGCATCGTTGTACTATGACTTATAATCCTGTTTCTCTTCTTCTGGTCTTTCTTTTTTACATCTTTGTGTTTGCCTAGTTGTTGTTGTTTGTTTGACTCATACATGGAAGAAAAATTACATCTTTAATTCCCTCTGTCCCATTTGATATGTGATATGGTTTTGAAAGGGTATGGAATTTATGGGAAAGTTTGACTTTTTTGTTGAAGTAATAGGAGTAGTAGACTATTGTGATGCTTCTACCATCATAGCATAGCTTAAAGTTGAAATTTTCAAAATGCATCTGTTATCATTTGTGCCCTTCTCCCCTCGGGTAGGGGTGAAGTCTGCGTACACTCTACCCTCTCCAGATACTACTAGTGAGATTCTACTGGGTTGTTGTTATTGCATCTGTTATCATTTGCAGTGTCGCGTTCAACATTTGGGGTCGCCCTTAGAATGGAATGTTTCTTTCATGTTAATTGAGATGGAGGGAGTAACTTATTCCAAAAAGGAGAATTAACTGTACTCTTATTTGCAGAACCCAAGTTTGTGGTCAGTTATCTTCACAACCTCAAATCATCAAAGGAGTCATTGCGTGAACAGGTTTTTGATTATTCCTCTTTATTTGCTCACTGCTAATAAAATTAGTGAAACTTTTTTCTAATCATTTTCTCATCTTTGCAATCTGTAGTTGGAAAGAGCAAAGAAAAAGGAGTCTGCATTTATTGTGACAATTGCCAAAAGAGAGCAGGAGATAGTAGAGTTGAAGGTAAAGTTGTTCGTGGCCATCAAAAGATAAATTGCATCTGTTACATATTTATTTTGAACTATCATGTATGTGTGGTTTTCATTGCTGCTCTCTCAACAAAATTAGGCAGGATATTTGGAGAAACATGTTATCTTAGTATATGGCGAAAGAAACAGAGATGGAGTAAAAGAAAATAGTTTCACTACAAAAATGAAAATTGAGTTGGTTGAAAGGTATCTGAGTTTCCAGCTGTAAATTGCTTACTCTGAGAAAATCTCTCGTCCTTATGGTGCACAATGAAGCTAGCCTACATCTTAGGGTAAACAAGCCTACTGCTAGTAAGCTGATTGAAGAGATCCGTTTCTAATCAATATTAACATTATTATGACAAGATCAAGTTCAATGCGCCTATGTTATGAAATCTAGTTTTATCCTCGACAGCTGATCAGATGTCATGCCTTTCTTCTTTTTGGGTGAGGGTGGGGAAGAAGGCAGTACAATGTTGTTGCTAAATGTTGAATGTTAATTTTTATGACCCTTTTTGTGAATGCATAGAATGTTGGGTTCTTTTCCCCTTATCTTTAGTTGCTTTTATTTTTAAATGCATATATCCAATTCATAGTTTTCTCCTTATGTATTGCTGCTCAATTCTTTCTTCTTACTTTTCTTATTGGTAAATGTTTTAGTCTGCAGTTCGGGACCTTAGAGTTCAACTCAAGCTGTCGTCAATGCAGGTAGTAATAGTATCTTTTCTCACCCATAGATCTGTTGTCTGCGTGTTCTATAATATAAATGCCGAAAAAGAAGAGAGAGAGAGAGAGAAAAAAAAAAGAGAGGGTTATTCCCTGCTTTATTCAATTATTTGGTGTTTTTCCCACTTTACAGTGCAATGTGTGTAATCTTTGTATTGTATGTAGATTGTTTCTATATCAAACATTAAGTTGCTTGGTACAGATATAGCATTTTAGGAGTTCGGTTAAACTTTTTATTATGATGTCATTGGATGTTGCTTGATGAGTTATGGGGAACTAAAGAATTTAACCTGAATGTTGTTGAAATCTAGAAGAATGTTCAAGATAATTTGATGTGTATTATGGAACTGTCAACCAAGGGAAGCTAGTTTCGCTCCACTCCTACCTGGCTACCCTCTAACAAAAATAGAAGTCACATTGCTCTCTTGGGGTTATTTTTTATGTAGAGTTTCTTTGTATATAGAGGAGGGTGGTATTTTTACTACCACAGGTTACATTAGATTCATCCCACCTCATTTTTTTTTCCGAATTGCGTCTTGGCTTAGTTTTGTCCGCCAAAACGGCCACCTAGATCTCAATTTTAAACTTCCTTTTTCTTTCTGGTTCATTTGGTTGTTGCTTTGCTAATTTTATGTCGTTTGCTTAAATAATACACTTTGGTAGCTGGTGCACCTTCATGTATAATTTTGGATACATTCGAGAGAGTATTAACTGCTTGATTTACTTAAAGAAGGTGCTTCTAGTTAAGAAATCTTAATTCCAACTCCAATCCAGTTATCAACTTTATCTACATATTGGTCTGAGAATACAATCCCTCTGTTAACACTAGTGCTATGGTCTCAAGGCTCTTGAATCCCCCCTCCCCCCTAATATACTCGGTATGCTAGAAACCACTTAAGATAATTCAACTTTAAAGTCTTTATTTTACCCTTTTTACCCTTAATGGAAAGCTTTCATAACCATACAAATATCATGATCCCACAAAGCTTTTACTCCTTAAGCATTTAAGACCACAAGTTTCAAAAGTCTTCGATTTTTTTATTAAACTTCATGTCAAGTCAAACTACCTCATCTAAATTGAAACCAAGGGAGTAGTAATTAGGGTTGTAAATTGTAAGTTACCAAGGGGAATCGTGAATGGAAATGGTTTAATTTGTGTTTCTATTTGTTCAATGTTGATACATTTGATGCGAGGAAAGAGAATTGAAGGGTAAGAGCAGCATATAGCTAACATGAAACCGCCCTATAAGATAGAACTTCTTAGGAACTGCAAAATGGTGGCCTGGACCTCTTATCTCCTTGAATCATTCTGCCTAATTCTAATGTAGATCCTACTAGCTAAGTTTGGATATTTAATCTTTTCGAAAGATTTAGTCCTTAGTGGGCACTTGTTCTACTATCTATACTCCTAATTAAGGGACAATTATATTCTTACTGTATCACAATTTGTGAAGGTGACACTATTTTGTCTATTGGAAACAATCTTTTTGCTTCCAGAGTAGGGGTAAGGCTGTGTACATCCTACGTTCCCCAGACCCCACTTGTCGGATTACACTAGGTTGTTGTTGTTGATTCTCTCATAATCACACTTATAAAAAACTCAGAGATGTTAAGATTGTTATTGTATTTAATGGGTGGTGATTTCCTTGTTGTTTAACTCTACTTTGACAGTTATGCTCAGTCACATCAGTTCAACCTATATTTTAAAGTTTATATTCTTTCATAGACCTTGAAGGGGAGCATTGCCATAACCGGTAAAGTTGTTGCCATGTGTAGAGAGAGATGTTTTGAAGTATTTTTGTTGTGTTTTTGGGGTGGTGATTTGTTAGATTTTTCTGAAATAAAGAGGAAGAAAGAATGACACGAATAGAAATTTCCGTAGCACAGAAGAAGAAAAAACTTTTGTCTCTCTCAATTCTCAACCAAAATATAGGAAGTGTCGTTATTTTGTCAAAAATAAAATTAGGTAGTGTCGTTCTTGTCCAAAATAGCCAAAATGCCCCAAAGGGCGCCAAAAGACTGTTTTTGCAAGAATAGCCACCTAATGTCCTCTTTCAAATGTTTTGATTAGTCAGCAAGCACAACCCTAAAATCTTCTTTCCTGAGGTGTCGAAGGGATGTATTCGAAACAAAAAAAAAGTGTTTTGTTCCAAATTGCAACCTTCAAAATTGGTATGTTCGCTTGAGTCAGAAAATAAAATCATGGTCTTTTAACCGATCACTATAATTAAATGTGTAGAATGAGCACGATTAAAAATGAACCCTTCATAGTCCTTGAGAAAATCCCTTTAGAACTCCACATGTGGTGGAATAATTTAGGAGAAGTCAGTAGAGATACCGTGGTAAAAGCTTTGGGCGGTATTGTTGGGCTTCTGAAGATTAAGCCTAGGAAGGATATAATTGAGGCTTTGATACCTTTCTAGGACCCAACACATAATGTATTCCATTTTGCCGATTTTGAGCTAACCCCTACGCTTGAGGAAATGGCGGGCTACGCTGGTTTTGTTGGGAATCTCAGAAATCAATACCCGGTGGCACCTAGAACAGTGACTCCTCATAAGTTTCTAGACCTTCTAGGTATCAGTCGGGAAGTTCACGATGAAAATTTGGCTAAGGGATTCTACACATTCTACTTCTTGTACCGACGTTACGGAAATCCTCGCGATTTTGAGATGCCAGATACCGGTCTTACTCACTCGGGGAACAAAGATAAGTGGGAAGCTCAGCGGGGACTAGCTTTTATAGTGGCATTCCTGGGTGTTTTGACTTGTCCATGAAAGAATGGAAACATAGAATTGGGGCTTGTGTGAATGGCCGATTTCATGACTAAAAGGGCAAATAGCACCATTATACATATGATCTTGGCAGGGATTTACCGAGCTCTAACTATTTGCCGGGAAGTAGGAAAATTCTTCGAGGGGTGCAATATGTTTCTACAACTTTGTATGGAGGAACACCTCTGTCACCGTCCAAGGTACATGAACTGCGGTATGACTGGTCCTAAATGCATCAAAAACATGATGAAAACTGGGGCAGAAAATTCCATTTGTTTTGTTTTTTTGATGAAATCAGGCATCCACATGGAGAGCAGGGGAGACAACACAAGTCTCAAGAATAGAAAACAGTTCAGGTTCAAGCAATCAGGCACCCACCTGGAGAAACAAGGAAAGACAGTTCCAAGGAAAAACAATCTCAAGAGAAAGCAGTTCAAGTTCAGCAATCAGGAGCCCACCTAAAGAACAAAGGGAAGCAGTAAGGTCCAAAGGAGTTCAGCAATCAGGAGCCCACCTGGATAACAAAGAGAAACAGTTCAAGTTTTGAGGAAAAGCAGGGCAATTGTTGGAAATTAGGCGCCCACCTGCAGAACCAAAGAGAAATCAGCAACATTCAAAGGATTTCAACAATCAGGAGCCCACCTGGAGAACAAAGGGAAGCAATTCAAGTTTCAAGTAAAATGCAGTGCAAGTGTTGGTAATCAGGAGCCCACCTGGAGAACAAAAGGAAGCAATTCAAGTTTCAAGGAAAATGCAGTGCAAGTGTTGGTAATCAGGAGCACACCTTGAGAACAAAGGGAAGCAACAATGTTCAAAGGAAGACAGCAATCAGGAGCCCACCTGGAGAACAAAGGGAAGCAACAATGTTCAAAGGAAGACAGCAATCAGGAGCCCACCTGGAGAACAAAGGGAAAGCAGCAAGGTTCATAGGAAGATAGTTCGAATATTGGCAATCAAATGCCTGTCGCGCCCCCTTTTTCCTTGTGAAATCGGGTTTATGATATTTGGAGGGACAACTCATTCCTTTTGGGAATTGGGTTTGATTTGAAGAGTCACCACCTAATGATTAGGGTGCATTAGGACACCAAGAGGGTTTGATTTGAGTAACAAGAGATTGGGCAAGGGCTTGAAATTATTCCAAAGGGAAGGTGTTAGGCACCCCTCAGAATCCACTAGTGTGGTTTCCAACCAGACAATTATTGTGAATTTGGTGCAATTAACATGTAGACAAATAAGACTCAAATAAGAGGGGATTTCACATATAAAGGCTAAAAACATAGACAAAGTTTAGAAGAGCAATTAGAAAAAAAGCTGATTTGTTAAAAGAAGGAGTTGAAATGATAAAAGAAATGAAGAAATAAGGGAAAGGGGGTCCTAGGTTTATTCATAATATGGATCACCCCACACAATGTCCGGTAATCACTCCTCAATGAGGGGCTACACGTGACATTATCGCGTGGTCATCATATCCATATCTACCCTTCCCACCCCGTCAAGGTATTTACAGTGTGGATTGGTCTCGATTACTATTGCATGCTATTACCCGTCACAGTCCTATCAGTCCCGGAGGTATTTAGGACTACTAATCCTAAAGGGGAGGGATATTAGGCTTATTTGTAGTTTCAAAGGTAAAACTCTAAGGCGACATACAAAAACACATATTGCAAATTGGGGGAAAGCATATAACAAACAGAGGCTCAGATATACCTCCTTAAACAAAGAAGCACGTAATTAGCATGACTTACACATATTGTTTTAGGTCTGATTTTAAAAGGTATTAAAGACGAGTGAGAGGAAATTGTTGAGACAGTTTCAGCTTATCACATTAGTCAGATAAGAAGTCTGAATTAGGCCTGTGTACTGGTTGTAATTATTAACAGAAGCAGATTCAGTTTATAATTATTACCCTAAGGCTTGCCTAAGTGTTGGACAAGGAACCTACAGGCATGGTATCTACTGGATTCAGAAAACAAGGAAACAACAAGGCTCGAAGTAAACTGTTTTGAATGCGTACTCGTTAAACTTGCTAAGTGATAGAATCAGATTTTTAAAAGAGAGGCGGGATTTAACGAATTGATTTAAAGTCCTACGGCTGATAGTAGCCATTATTACTGGGTGAATCAAACTTTTTATTAGAAACCCCTATAGGCATGCTTTCTATACATTGCTGATTTTTTTTTCAAAC